CCACCAACCACCAAGGCCAGATATGAAAGACATGGCATTGACCTTTCCAAGGGATACCCAGAGAAGCCACCATCCTCGCAAATCCCGTTGTATGTTGATGATGCAACGAAGATCAGAGACAAAGAGCACGAGTACATTCCAAGAGGACTGAATGCTGACAAGGAGAAGAAGGCCTTATTTGCCAAAGTTAAAGAGGTGAAGCACTTGACCAAGCACATTGGTACAGAGCTGATTGGCGTGCAATTGGCAGATCTTAATGAACAGGAGCTCGATGAACTGGCACTCCTGATTGCTGAACGAGTTGTTGTGTTTCTAAGAGACCAGGACCTTTCACCACAGAGACAATTGGAGATTGGCCACTTCTTTGGAACTCCAGAGGTTCATCCACAGGTTCCTCATGTTCCAGGCTTACCAGGCACCACTGTTATTTGGAACGAATTGGCAAGAAAGAACGGGCTGAACGTTTCCTGGAAGAACTCTAAGGCTGGTACAGGTACCTGGCATAGCGACTTGCCTCATGAGCTACAGCCTCCGGGTGTTACTCATTTGCACAATGATGCTATTCCTTCGCTTGGTGGTGATACTCTATGGGCTTCAGGGTATGCTGCGTACGACAAGCTCTCGCCAGCATTGCAGAAGTTCCTCGAGGGGAAATACGCCTATCAGAGATCCATGCACACTTACTTGGACAGATCAAACCCGTTGAATGGTGGGAAGCAAATCTTGAGAAAGCAGCCTGTTGTCAGAACACATCCTGTGACTGGCTGGAAGTCTCTATACGTCAACCGTGATTGGACTGTTTCGATTGAAGGGCTGGAACCTGGTGAGTCCAAGGTGATTTTGGAGTACCTGTTTGACGTCTATGAGAAGAACCTCGACATCCAGGTAAGATTTGACTGGAGACCAACCATTGAAGGGTTAGGAACCTCTGCTTTATGGGATAACAGAGTCAGTCAGCACGCTGCGGTTTGGGATTACGCTGGAGAAGAGCCGAGACATGGAACGAGGGTGAGTTCTTTGGCTGAGATTCCGTATTTCGACCCGAGCTCCAAGTCTCAAAGAGAGGCACTGAACTTAGCTTAGGCGTGAAACACACATACTATTTAACACTTGTTTGAAACGCAAACGCCCAAGTGGTATTATAATTGTGTCATAAAACATCCAGACATTACATCAGTACACCAGCATCGTGTTCGGTGTAGTTTCTTCAACTATGGAAAGGAATCTAAGACAGAGAAGTGTTATACACTTGTGTAGATATCCTTGTTAGTGCCCACGAGCCGAGCTATAGCCATTATATTCGTAAGACAGTACATGTCATCCATTGTCATGTCATTATTGCAAAACAGTAATTCTCCCCAGAATTTATCAAAATAATCGCAGATTCGTAGTTTATTTTATACAATAAGCAATAGCTTACTCTTCTCTCACCATAATTGGCCAATTAATCCACGGAATCGCAGCCCATTATGACAAAATTATACCATAAAATATACAATATAACCAACATTAATATTACTAATTGGCGCTTTCCCTTTTGGGCATTTTCGCGCATACCATCAACACTTTTTTTTCACTTCCTATGAGCTTTCAGAACATTCTCCATCTCTCTTTGATCACTCGGGGTGTGCTCAGAGGTTTGGTTGTTTCTCTTACCGTGAAGATGCTGGTATCACGCTGCTCATATGCCATCAGGCTGTACTCTACGAAAGTTCTGAACTTGCCTAAAGCTGGGTCCCTTGAGGGCTACAAGTCGTACATTCAACAGCCTCATCTTCAATCGAACCCACAACTGGTATCAAAGCTTTTTGAGCAGGTCTATAGGGACACCCATCTGAGCGATGAAGATAAGGGCCAGCTACACAACGAAGTTCTGTCGAAATTACTGCCCTTTGACGCAAGTTTGACCACCCATGCGAGATCCCTGGAGAAACTGGGACAACAGATGAGCCCGGAGGCTTTGGAACAGGTCATTGTGAATAACAAAGGCCGTGTAGATTCCAGCTGGGACATCTTTGAAAAATGGTTGCTGAACAACCCGAGAGTATCAAATAGTGACATTCAAGGTGCTTTACAGCAAGTTTTGGCGAAAGTGGTCCATGGTGATCCAAGTGAACATGAAGATGGCTATTCCATGAACGAGGAGGCTCTCGTGAGAGCAGTCTGGATTCTGAAGAACCTTGAAAGACAAATGGACAAAGAGATCGTGGAGCTAATCATAAAAAAGACGATGGAGGTTGGTGATTGGTCTTTGATTCATGAATTGGGCATTAATTCCTTGGCAGACATCGAGGCCCTGGACCCTTCAGACGAGCAACTCTTGACCTTATGGCTTTCATTACAGTCTACAGAGCTCAGTGAGCATGAAGTGAAAGCACATTTGAAACTCATAGAGAGAATCTTGACCATTCTGTCTAAGAAGACATCAGAGGCTCCAACCATAAACACTGAAATGTTTTCAAAGTTGAACAAGAGATTTCCAAACTTGGCAGTTGAGCAGAGGATCATGGAGCAGAAATCAGTTGATAATCTCATCGAACAATTAACAACAATATTGAACACTGAGACCACTGGATTGACTCAATTGAGAACCACAATGCTTAAATGCGTTGGAATGTACTTGGGACAGTTTTCTAAGTCTCTGGAATTGTACCATCATTACATCGTGATAGATGGCCCATATGTCGATGAATATATGACCACAATGGTTCAGGTGGCAAGTTATCAAGGCGTGAAGAACAACTCTCAGGTCTTCCTGGCTATTGCAGACTCGTTGACTCCACAACCTGTTCCCTTGAAATGCCTGAGGGTGAAGATCTTGGCCAAGGCACTCTTCAACGTTGATGATTCCCTTGATATCTATAATGAATATATTCAGCAATGCTCTAAAGAGAACAATGACTCTGGTGTTTCACAAGCTGGATTACTCACGGAAAGTCTCCTTTTAGCATATCTCTGTAACGAGCAGAGAGAGTTTGCCTACGTTATCAGGGAAGGAGCTATAGCGAACGGGTTGATACAGGGAGTAACAGCCCAGAATCGTTTAAAGAGATATCTAAAGACCTATGGTGATATCATTGAGCAAGAGGGAGATCATGGAGAACTGTTCAAGAGGGAAATACTATCTGAATTGGAAGAATTGTAGCCTCATCATGTGTATATAGTGTTGTACTTTTACAGAATTATACCTAGTTATTCATCATATTATAATGTATGGAAGTAAGTGTAAGCGAGCTATACCATAAGCATGATCATTTCTCAGAGTCCATCATCATCAGGGCAATGATAGAGTCTGCAACTTGAGCAGCAGCAAGGGATGTCAACTCAGCGTTGGTGTCGTATGGAGGAGAGACCTCAACAACATCACCACCAATAACCTTAAGACCCTTCAAACCGTCAAGAACAGTCAGCAATTCTCTTGAAGTCCATCCACCTGGCTCGACAGTACCAGAGGCAGGAGCAAATGCTGGGTCCATGGAGTCAACATCAACAGTGATGTATACTGGCCAGTCACCAACTCTTTCTCTGATCTTTCTGATGATGGCTTGCGCACCAATCAAATCAATATCACGAGCAAGGATTCTATCAAACCCGCACTTGATGTCATGCTCAACATCCTTCTTACCTGGGTATGGACCTCTAATGGCAGCATGGATACATGCATCAGGAGCTAACAAACCCTTCTCATGGGCCCAGTGAAGGTAAGTACCGTGATTGATGGATTGGTACTCAGTGACGTTACCACCGAAGAAACGTGGATCCCAGGTATCCAAATGAGAATCAATGTGAATGACGGCGATTTGACCCCAGTTCTCGAAAGCAGCTCTCAAGGAAGGCAAAGTGATGGTGTGGTCACCACCCAAGGTGAACACCTTCGGAACCTTGTATTTGTTCTTCTCAGTGGTTCCATGCTTAGCAATGGCACGCTGAGTTCTGTACATTTGATCAAGGGCAATTCTGTTGTCCAATGGAGTGATTGGTGGGTCCATACAGTCAACAATCTTGGCCCAACTTCCGTAAGGGTCAATACCATCGTAGACAGAGAAAGTATGGCCAGCCAGTCTTTGAGAGGCAGTACGAATACCTCTTGGCCCGAAACGGGTACCTGGTCTGTAGGAGACACCAGAGTCGAATGGAGAGCCGACAACTGCAATGTCGAATGTCTCCTCACCGAACTTGGAAGGATCGTAACAGTTACCAATTGGCAAGTGAGCAAAGGAGTTCAAACCAGCAAACTCACCACCACGGTACAAGACAGCAGAGCCATTAAGATCTCTCAGGTCATCTGGATCCGGGTAGTGGTACTCATCTCTAACCAGCATCAAAGAGACAGGATCAGTGATCTCAGCTGGAGCCTTCTTTGATTCAGAGCCATAGGTAGTGACCTTCTCGGCAGTGTAACCGTCCAAAATCGGACCGAAGTAGCTATCCAAGAAGGACATACCAGTCTTATCCACAGAAGACTTGATGTCAGCAGCATTCTCAAGCTCGCAGTTCAAAAGAACTTGTTGAGCATCAGGTGCAGGGGCAGCATTGGCGTAGTTGGCGAAAAGAGCCAAAGCCAAAGAATAAATCACTGATTGGGGGAGCATTGGCTTGTGGGATGAAAGAGAGACTCGAGTGACAAACCAGCTCCAACGAAGAGGAATTCGGTCAACTTTATAGCTTCACAATCTCAAGTTAGAGTCCAACAAGTGGCTTCGGAATTGAAATTACATCACTGCTTGCGGAGAAGATCATGAGGCATCGCAAGTTAAACGGACGCTTGAGTGTCGTCTAAGGTGGCATCGGAAATGAGTCCAGCACTAGAGCATAGCTTACAGAGCAGAAAGCCTGTGCCAATACTGGGAGGCTAACTAATATCGCAATGTGTTCATGCTCACACCACGATGAGTATCAACATACCATCGCAGAGTGCTTCGGAATATGCAACGGAATTGGATTATGCGCATGCGGTAATCGGAATTCCAACCGATAGATCAATCGCAACTTAATCCTCCCAACCCATTGCAATTGCAAAGGTGCCAGAATTCACACGTTAGCACCATCGTTGGAGCAGGTAGCAAAGGAGGAAAGAGCAGGAAGGAGAGCGCAACCGTAGAAACGATTTCCGATGGAACGCTGCTTATGACGCACTCTCAAAGCCTCGAACGCACGCACGCGCACCAGATTTCCTGAAAGAGAACAGCGTCGGAATTATTCCGACATGTGGTCATGGTATTCCGACACATGCCACAGTGCATGCGCACTGTGCCACACGCACTGTGCCACACGTAAATTAAGGTTCCGATATCAGAGATTCCGACACGGAAAACGAGCTCCGCCCCATATGAGTTTTCAATTCCGACAAGTGTAACGCGGGTTTGAGTTGTTTGCCTGCAGCATTGTCAACCTTGGCTCTCATGAACACAGTTTACAACGTCGATTCAACAACGGACCGGCACCTCTGGGGTTGTCCTTTCATGCTTGACACTGTATCTCGTGATTGGCCCTTTGGAGAAGTGGTTATGGGTAAAAAATTCCGACGAAAGGGGAGCATAGATGAGCAATGCAACGCTGTAGGTATTCTTTTAATACCGGTTATCGGGCCTGGGACATATACATGGACTTTAGTCACTTGTATTCTCTGCTTCATGAACGTCTGAGGAGAGAAGACAAGAAACTCATTCCTGATCTTTAACCTCTTCTTCATCACGTCACATCCAGGCTCTGTGCTAAGTATCTAACTCACGTGTGAAATGTCGAACTCAGCTCCCCCAGAGTATACAAAGCTCTTACCTGTTGACGAGCATCCAGAGACGGAGTATGGCTCTGTCGATGACGGGGATTGTTCATCTTCTGAGCAGCAAACCACCATCTTAGAAGAGGCAAAGGTGATCGCTAGGTCTTCTTTGTCGCTCATCATTACCTTTTTCTTACAGTACTCTTTGAATGTTGTCTCCATTTTCTCCGTTGGTCACCTTGGCAGAACCGAACTTGCTGCAGTGTCTCTATCCACGATGACCTTTAACATCACCTCTGGTGTCTTCAATGGCATGGCTACGTGTCTCGATACCTTCTGTGCACAGGCCTATGGCGCAGGCAAGCCCAAGCTGGTTGGCTTGCATTTTCAGAGATGCCTGTGTATGGTGTTGACCATTGCAATTCCAATCAACTTGTTATGGTGGTTCTCGAGTCCAATTCTGAACGTTTTCGTCAAGAACAAAGAACTGACTGATCTTGCACAGACTTACCTGAGAATTGTCTCAATAGGATCGCCTGGTTTCATCCTTTTTGAAACAGGCAAAAGATTCCTACAAGCACAGGGAATCTTCCACGCTGCTCAGTATGTGTTGTATATCTGTACACCAATTAATGTTATCCTGAACTATCTACTGGTCTGGGATAAAGACATTGGTATTGGATTCTGCGGTGCACCTTTGGCGACAGCCTTTAGTTATACACTGATGGCTGTGCTGCTCTTCCTTTATGTCTACTTTATCGATGGTTCTAAATGCTGGAACGGTCTCCACATTAGGGAATCGTTCAAAAATTGGGGTCCAATGGCTTCTTTGGCACTGCCGGGTGTTATCATGATTGAAGCAGAATTCCTTGCTTTTGAGATATTGACGTTGAGTGCTGCTCGTCTGGGGACTGAAGTTTTGGCAGCCCAGTCGATTGCTTCAACATGTGCTTCGCTGATTTTCCAGATCCCCTTCGGGTTGAGCATTGGTGCTTCGACAAGAATTGGAACCCACATAGGAGCACAGTCTTTGGCGAACGCTCAGACTGCCGTCACGGTCTCCTTAGAAATCGCCACAGTCTTGGGAATCTTTATTACTTTTTGTATCTACAACGGAAGAAGAGTTATTGTAACTTGGTTCACAGATGATGCTAAGGTGATTGAGCATGCGTTGGTGGCTTTGAGAATCTTAGCAGTTAATCAGCTCTATGACTCAATCAATGTCATTGCAGCGGGGTGCTTGAGAGGGCAAGGTCGTCAAAAGATTGGAAGTAATCTCAATCTATTATGTTATTATACAGTTGCTGTTCCACTGGCTTTGTTGTTAGCTTTTAGAGAGGGCTGGGGGCTCGAAGGTCTGTGGGTTGGTTTAGGTGTCGGTATCTTAATTCTGGCTGTTAGTGAAGTTTTTGCAGTGTTGAGGGTCGACTGGGACTGGGTTTTAAAGAAATCAATGGAGAGAAACAACGTAACATAGTGCAATACAACATTTTTAACTAAGTATGATTCTCGAGGACGTCTTGTAAACTGTTGTAGAAGACACTACAGACAGCAGGGTGGACGATAAACCGTTGAAGTGACAATAAGGTCAAATAGTATCATTATAATATCTCATAAGTGATAAATTATAAGTATTAGATTGTTTGAAGGTGGGGCTTACACTGACAAAACAACAATAGAGAATAAACAATTATACAAAATAAACTAAAATATAAAAACCACAATAACATATAAACTTATCAAGCAAATGATTCACTTGTTGAAATAGTGTTATCATTCACAATTGCACCCTTTTTTGACTGATCATCGCTAACGTGAACTTCCTCCATGTTGATATCTTCATGTACACCATCGAATGGAACAAGATTCAATTTTATGCATTCTTCACTTGTGAATTTGTTGAAAATGTCTTCGCCTTCTGAGACTCCAGCCCCCTTGATAGGGAATACCCAAGTACAAATGATGTAATACAGGATAAGAGGGCAGAAGAACGAGAACACAACACTTCCGTAGAAGTAGTTTGCTATATCTGTTTTCAACTTGATGTCTGGGTTTGAAGCAGAGGCCATCCCTGGAAGACCTGGGACCACAGCTGCAAAGAATACAAGGATAGCTCTCCAATTGATACCTTTAGTGAAGTAGAAATCACCGTCTTTACTTGTCGTATAGAGATCGTTGATTCTGAGTCTGTTTCTTCTGACGAGGGTAAAATCTGAGACGATGATACCGATGATTGGTGTGACGATCACACCGAAACTACTCATGACTGTCGAGAACGTCGATGAGGTGTTATAAAAGGTCCAAGGCTGAACACACCAACTCAACAGGGCCGTGATGATTGATCCTCTCACAATGTTGATATAACGTGGACAGACACCAGCAAGATCCATACCACCAGCAAATCCATTACTCAAAAGGTTTAGTGAAAGTTCAGACGAGAGAAATGACAAGCCAAGGAAGAAACAGGCACAGCGCATTCTTGGAGAGTAGTTATCTTGAAGCCACTGGAGACAGATATCAGTTGGCAACCAGTAGGATTCACCATAGAGCTCCAGTGAGCAACTAGCAGAGATCAGACCAGCCAATGGAATGATTTCAGTGAAGAAGATACCAACAAAGACTCCGATAACGAGCTTTTTACGGCTAGAGCTGAATCTCGAGAAGTCAGATTGATTTGTGATATCTGGAGATAAGGCACCGTACCAGACAGACATCGCATATAACCACATCCATCCTGTTTCTGAAGCTGAGAGCTCAACCTTCTCATAGTAAATTGGCCCTGGCCCACCGTTGATACAGTAAAGGTAGACAAAGACTGAAACGAGTCCGAAGAGAGCCATGATACAACTAATGTTGACAAAGATGTTCATCTTTTCCGGCTTAATGAAGAAGAATGGGATTGAAATGACCTGGAAGACCAAGAAACCGATGAAATCTCTTGTTGTCATTGCAACTGATTCCGGAAACGTATTTTCCATGTTGAGGTAGCTTTCACTGAATGTTGAGAAGATAACGACAAAGCATAGCCCACCTAACCATGCTTGGGAGCCATAGTAGACGATACTGAGGATGATTCTTATGAGGATACCTAGTGCAGAGCCGTAGACTCCGAACACCATTCTCTGGCACACTGTGTATCCGATGTGGTAAGTCTCACCTGGGTAAGAGTTCAAGCACGTGTAGAGAACAATAAGAATGTTACCCACGGTAAGTGCGCCCATGGACTGCTGGATGTTCAAACCCAGAGAGAGCAGAGAACTGCCCACACTGAATGTCCAGACACTCAAGTTCAACACACCCCAGTAACCAGCATAAGACCATAGTCCCCAGGTACGTCTCTCTGGACCAATGGGCTCAAGATCAGGATTCTGAAGAATGCTAACCTCCTGTGAGGACTCATGAGGAACTTCCAACTTCTTCAGAATGTTGGCGAACGATATCTCGCTATACATTGGGAAGATCATTTCGGACGATTGCGATGACTTCTCCGTGTCGAATGAAAACATCTTCACAAGTTACTTTAAAATTAACGAAACACTGCTTCCTTATAAACGTTCAACAGCACACTTTTTTTCTTTCTTTTTCCCTTCCCTTCAGAGAAGCAAAGATATCCACGGTACTGGCAGCTTGAACTGATACAGATGAGGAAGGAAGAAGAGGCCCAACTGCTGGAAAGTCTGGTGACTGTGATATGTCCGTTCCAAGAGATATGGGTTTTTTTCTCGTACATGATTGATAAATCGCAAGCGCATTGTGTGGAAGACACACACCACCGGACATTTGAGACGAGACGAGGGAAAACAGGGCAAAAACGATCGGAATTTGAGGGAGAAATCGGGGCGAAGAGCGAAGTTTGTTGGAATACCACAACGTCCACCATTGACCGTGCACAACGTCCCATTTCAGCGGAACCGGTCGCCGTATCATTGGAAATTGCGACGTATGTAAGAATTCCGACAGATGGGTGCTGATGCAGATAAGCAATTCCGATATATGGTTGGGGCACGTGTGGATGTCGAACCGTGCATCATGGTGCATATTTGTGCATAATGTGTATTTGGTTTCCGATGAGCTGTGGAAGCAGAAGGTGGACGTTTGGTGTGGTTTGTTAGTAGTTTTCCAGAGATTACAATGCGATGGTGAGTTGTAGTCTATTGGATAGTGTGTATGTGATAACCATGGACTTCTGGTAGTGCTGGGAGTTTCTGCTCTGGTCATGCTCAAGGAGTGAGATTTGGCTGAGCGGTCAGGGTTTGTTATGTATGGATGGACACTTTGTTAGCTTCCTCTCCAGTTGTGTATTGGCTTGGTTTTCGTAATGAGAGGGATCGGATCATGGATTGGAAAGTGTTGATTGTGTCATGCAATGATCCTGCGGCGTGTAGGGGGACGTCTCGCTGGTCACTAAGGAGAAAGAGCCTCAAGTGTACTCATATGACCGTCTAATCGGAATTCTTCACTCTCAAGTTTCAAATCAAGGGGATGTGTTTCACAGACTGATAGAAGAAGAATGGCCAAGGCCTTCAAAGGCTACAGCCTTCGCCGAAGGACGTCCATGGTTCCGATCTATTGCCGTGGGCACGGGCGATTGAAGGCTTACTGTACATCTCACCAGCTGAAGCAGCTCGGAGTTGAATTGACACATACAAGAAGGCCGGATCGTAACTGCGGCATCTTTGAAGATAGAGTCAGTGGCTTACATTATCGTATGCTCACCGCACTGGGAAACACTCTGCTTACACCTTCACGGCACACATAAAACGTCCAATAGTCTGTGAACAAAGGCGATGAACAGTGATACGTCGGGATACATCCAAACATACACGCCATATATGTCCGGGTTAACCCGGACATTCCAAAAAGACACATTACATAAGCCATTACTAATCACATCGCGGACACGACATCCCGTCCTCCCTCCGTTGGCCTCACTGCCCAGGATCAACATTAACCCATTCAATTCCTCTTCAATTAGATTCCAATCCGGCTCATCTCAATCAGTTCGGAAGAGAGAGACCACCAATCGTCGACAGCGCACGCCCAACAGCTTCAAAACCACCGCAATCATTATGTCTGACCTGCTACAATCCATACGCCCGTACTTGGAAGGCCCAATCTCTTTCAAGGCACAAAGAACTACACACGATGTCTCATTACTGTTGCTAAACTTTGGTGCCTTCGTATCATTCGGAGTCGGCTTTGTATTCCAGAGCATACTCGCCAGTGTTTATACTTTTGTCGGTGTTTTGGCTGTGACCCTTCTCATAGTTGTGCCACCATGGCCTTCTTTTAATGGTGATGAGGGACTGAAATGGCACGAACCCAAAGTTGATATCCTCAAATGAGTTCATCCTGCTTACGCTACAAAGTATATATGATTTGGTGAATTGCTTAGGAAATTTGCTTCCCTTTCGTACGCTGTAGTTCTTGTAGCTGTGTCCACCGGATAAATCATCGGCGTAGAGTGAAACGCAACAATTCTCGGTACCTAATGCAGGTGAATCTATATTTAATACCCGTCAAAGAACGCTCGCAAAGCAGTTTTCCAACGTTTCTACCTCTTCACCTGGTGCTTCATATCGCCTATAGCAGACAATGAGCTACTACTTCGGCTTGGACTTATCTACTCAGCAGCTGAAGCTGCTGGTGATTGACGAAGGCTTTAAGATCGTCCATTCGTACTCCTTGGAGTTCGAGACGGACCTGCCACATTATAAGACAGTGAAAGGTGTCTACTCTGACGAACGGACCGGTGAAATCGTGGCACCTGTTACGATGTGGATCGAGGCCCTGGACGTTGTGCTCGAGAAGGTGAAACAAGACGGCATAGATTTCGCTCTAGTGAAGGGAATCTCGGGCTCTTGTCAACAGCATGGCTCCGTGTATTGGTCAGATGCTGCTAATGACGTTCTGAGCTCTTTGGACCCTACAAGATCCCTGAAGGATCAGATTGGGGAAGCCTGCTTCAGTCTACAGACGTCTCCTAATTGGCAGGACCATTCAACGGGGGAAGAGCTCGAGATCTTTGAGAGATACGTTGGTGGTGCTGATTCATTGGCTGAGATCACAGGCTCCAGGGCCCACTATAGGTTCACAGGTCCGCAGATTAGAAAGTTGTTGAAGCTGAGACCTGAAGTGTATCATAAGACGAAGAGAATCAGCTTGGTTTCTAGTTTCCTCGCTTCTTTGTTCTCAGGGACCATTGTCGAGTTAGAGGAAGCGGATGCGTGTGGAATGAACTTGTATGACATCAGAAACAAGAGATGGGATGAACAATTACTGGCTACTTGTTCAATGACCCACGAAATGGACGGAATTGAGGATGAAACAGTTAGACAGCAAGCCATCGATGAATTGAAACGGAAATTGGGGACTCCCTCACCAGCAGGGTTCAAAGCGATCTCCAAGATCTCGTCGTACTTTGTACAGAAGTTTGGTTTCAAGGAGGACTGTCGTATCTATTCATTCACAGGCGATAACCTGGCAACAATCATATCGTTCCCCTTAAATGAGGATGAATTGCTGATCTCATTGGGCACATCGACAACAGTGCTCTTGGTGACAAAGCACTACGTGCCATCTTCAGCGTACCATACTTTTATCCATCCAACTATACCAGATAGTTATATGGGCATGATCTGCTATTGTAATGGCTCATTGGCTCGTGAAAAGATTAGAGATTTACTTAACAAAAAGTTCAACAAACCTTCAAATGATTGGACCTTGTTCGACAAGCTGCTGTCCCAGTCCAAGTTCAACAAAGCAGTGGGTGTTTACTTCCCAATCGGCGAAATTGTTCCGAATTGTAAGGCCCAGACTATAAGAGCTCGGATGGGCAGTGACGGTGAACTCGAGATAGTTGACTCATGGGACGAGGAGATAGATGCTGGTGTTATTGTCCAATCACAGGCATTATCATGCCGTGCTCGTGCTGCGCCTATGCTAAACGTTAAAGCACAGACCATTGATGGTATAGAGTCCCTCGAGTTTGATGGTAAGCTGATTTCTAAGGAGCACTTATCACAGAGACCTCACAAAGTTGTATTTGTTGGAGGAGCATCTAAGAATACAGCTATAGTGTCAAAGTTTGCTGAGGTCTTGGGAGGTGAATCTTTTAGATTCGATAACCCCAATGCTTGTGCCCTTGGAGGAGCTTTCAAGGCATCATGGAGTGTTGCATGCGAGGATGATGGTGTTGTGGACTTCCACAGATATTTAGAGTCGAGATTTGATACCAACACCATGGAAAGAATCCAAGTTGATGAGAAACAATGGGATACTTATATCCCTGGATTGAAGATGCTACAGCAATTGGAGACTGTTCTTGAGAGATGAAGCCTCCATTCATCAACAGTCAAGGCCAACAGATGCATATACGATAGAATATGTATACAATTCGTGAATAAACAGCTAGTTACAAGTCTAAACCCACTTTTAAAGGAGAAATACCGAGCAGTGAGTACAGTTCAAGGTTATCAAGGTATTCAATTAATGTTTTTAAATGATCAGGAGCTAAAACTCAGCATGAAGAGAAAATATCAAATGGAAGCTCAGATGAAGAGCCCCATTATCACCAAGGAGAGCAGTGAAGATGCGTGCACTAAGCCACCAGAGCCTTCATATACGGACGCGAATGACGTTGTTGAGTCATGTTCAAGTGTTTTCGTTTGCGTAGTTTGGACCAAGAGAGTTGAAGTGGATGCTTGATACCCTTGATACTCAGATTGTTGCACGGATGATGTACTGATTGGGGAATCTGGTATGTCTTCGTAATTTGGCTGCTCTGGAGAAATGGACGTGAATGGCTCAGATGTAGAAGTAGTAAGGAGGACATTCGTATGGGTGCCAGTGACTTCAGTTCTTGTAATGATAACAGTAGAGGCTGGCACAACAACGGTGGATGACGAAAAATCAACAATCGTTACATGTTCAGAGAAGTTCAAGGTTCTTGTTCCAACAACAGTCGATGAGATCACTGCAAAGGCAGTAACAGAGGTGGTATCAACATCTGTAGTTGATGAAACATCTGTAGTTGATGAAACATCTGTAATTGATGAAACATCTGTAGTTGATGAAACATCAAGCAAAGTAATCGATGTAGCATCTAAAGACGTTTGGAAGACAGTCGAAGAGATTGTGTTAACTGCAGTCTCAATCTCTGTTGAAGAAATTGTTGCAACAATTGTTTGTGCAACAGTTGAAGAAATGTTATTGATAACAAACGAAGAGTAGATCTCAACTTGTGTCTGAACAGCCGTAGATGGGATAACAGAGAATATAGTTGATGATAGCGTCTCAACCAAAGTTGTCGAGATAGTTTCAGTAACCCCTAGCGTAGTTGCATTATAAGTTGACTCAATAGAGACAACCTCCGAAATTGTAGCAGCAGCAGCAAGAGTGGTAGTACCGGCAGGAGTACCCTTTATAGTGGCTTCAGGCAGAATCGTTTCAACAGTGGTATATATCTCAGTAGATGTACTAACTAATAAAGATACATCAACACTGCTTAATATCTCGACATGGGTCTCAGTCGTAGTCACTCTTTCCAACAGTGTTGATGCTTCAAGATTAGTTGGAGTTTCAACAGAAGTGATAATTTCAACATAAGTAGATGTTTCAGTAGCCTGGACAGTTTCAGTAGTGACTGATGTTACAAATGAGGTAGATACCTCAATAGAAGTGTAAACATCAATACCTGTAGTTGTCTCAAGTACAGTTTGTAGCTCCACGGTTATGGACGTTTCAAGAGTGGTAATAGTCTCAAATGCGGTATAGTTATCACGTAAAGTTTCAGTTGTAACTATTGTTTCAATAGCAATAGTTGTTTCAATCGCAGTAGTTGTTTCAATCGCAGTAGTTGTTTCAACGGTTTTTGCTGTTTCAACGGTAGTTTCTGTTTCAACGGTAGTTTCTGTTTCAATGGTAGTTTCTGTTTCAATGGTAGTTTCTGTTTCAATGGTAATTGCAGTCTCCATTGTTGTTGCAGTCTCCATTGTTGTTGCAGTCTCCATTGTTGTTGCAGTCTCAATTGTTGTTGTCGTTTCAATTGTTGTTGATGTCTCAATTGTTGTTGATATCTCAAATAATCCTGTTTCTTCCACACTACTGACAGTAAAATCTTCAGCAAGTGTTGTTGTTTCAATAAAGCTCGAAGTTGAACTTCCAGAACAGGATGGACATACTGTAATGGTCTCGGTTGAGAGAATATCGCTTTCTGGGTAAGGTTCACTGGAACTTGAAACAACAGAACTAGAGCGCACAGAAGTTTCCTGTACTTCATCAATAGTTGAAGTTTCAGTAGGAGTATACACAATAACCGTTCCAGCAGTTGTTTGAGGGTCATAAACAGTGGTAACAGAGGTTGTGTAGCCGGAATATGGAGTAGTGGTCAGATACAATGGAACAGCAATTGCGTCAGCTTCTGCAGTTTCAACAATAATGACTTCATATACATCAGCAGAAATCAAGTTACCATCACATTGAAAGTTATAGGAGATTTCAGCTTCCAAATTGAATTTGACTTGAGACTGATAATGCCATGAAGAAATGAATAGACGGCTACCAGCTGGAACGTCAGTAAGCGATATAATGATCTGATTACCGCTGCAAGTTGAAAACGTATTGGTATCAATAGAGTTTTCCGGGAATAACCAATCATTGATTTGAGATGTCAAATACACTTGGAGGGTACCACAATCGAGGTCACCTTCCCCTTCAACACTTGAGGTAAACTCGACAAAGACGTTACCGGAAAATGACGAGTCACAACCTGGGAAGAGAATATAGTTCTCTGTAGATCCTTGTCCTGTTGTACGAGGGAGATGGTATAAAGTTCCATCATCCTCGTGATCAACGGTAAAGTTCATCTGTATAGTCTCTTTGTTGAAGTTGACGTTGTTTGCACCAGCAACGAAATAGTTTGCAGCGTCGATTTCCTGCTGATGAGCAGAACCACCGACACCAAACGAAATGGTAACTGATACAGTACCAGATAAAGTCAAGTAATCTTCAGCTTCTGGAAGCAGAACACAATCCAAAGTGGAATAGCCAACGATGTATGCACCAGAAAAGCCAGTACATTCAAAAACATTTGTACCATCTGAGGTAGTCCCGTAGAGAACTTCATTGGAACCATCTAGAAGTATACGGTACACGTAGTCCATGGTCATTGAGAACGAAAACCCAGTGTAGATATTCTCTTCAGGAATATAGTAATCAAGATCAAGGGTCCATTGAGATGTTGGAACATTTGAACCGTCTTTTGAAATGATAGATCTCACTGTGAAGATGTCAGCTGAGAGGGCATATTGAACCAAGAATAACAAGGACAAGAGAATCTTGTTAAGCATCATGTTGGAAGCTATGATGAGGGTACTTCAAACTTGTTGGTACTTTCCCTTTCCTTCAACTGACAGTCTTGATACATGGGTGAAACTTGAATGGTTATATAGATATCAGCGAAGAGCAAAAAAGCAGCAAGAAAGGAAGGGAAAAAGAAAAGACAAAAGCAGCCACTAAAGAGACTGTAACGAAGTGAAACACTTTTCAACACATTGATGGGCTAAGATGCATATACTGACCTCAGATTTAGCCCTTTGGAACCGTCATTCTTCTATCAAATTGGATGCATACCGTGTGATATACACACAGCAAGGAAATTGGCCGAGAGAGACCACTAAGCGAACCCAGTCGACGACTGTTTCACCATGTAACATCTATGATGTTGCAGATGATATATGCATGCACCTGGTAAGCATTTCTGTGCCTAATTTGAGGTTCAAAGATCTCTCAGAGGTCCCTTTCGAGGCTCAGAACTCATAGCAGAACGCTGTCTCCACCTCATCACGACAAGAAGCACTCATAAACAAGGGCCCTCACTAGGCGCAAGACACAGCGCTCAAGAGACAAGCACAGTGATCACTCACATCAGCCAACGAGACACCGTCGCACAGCATCAAACGGGAGAAAGCATCGTAACAGAACCGCCTCCATGCGCCACTATCATCTTGTAGACGAAAAGAGAGCGGTAGACTCAAACTCGTAACGCGGAGTCGCAGAGCGCACAGCCCACATATTTCCCACACAGTCTCTGATCGAGATCCTCAAAACCTACTCGTTCCAGTAATATTAGTTTCCCTATATGGACACCAATGGAGCCAACGATTCGGCATGATTGTATGCATGAAACAGCTGTGTTTGTTTACTTTTCTCTATGTTTTTCTTCACCAGGTTTCTGTGGCATTTTTTGTTAGCGTTTCCATTCAGATCCCAAACGGGAATAGATGCTTCCCATATCAAATATGTGCCCATACCGATAGCGTGTCCATACCGATCTGTGATTACGTAATATCAATTGCTATGCGCACTCTCCGTTGATTATATAAGCGGACATGAATTAGAGAACTATACAACAATGCGATATCCTCCTTGAGAAGGAGGAAGGGGGGCAGTAAGAGGCCGTGTTTAGTATAGTCGATGTCATATACCATCTCTGATCTCCAAGAACTTGAGGTATTTCGGTTTGGTCCATTTTCTGGCCTTCTTTCCCCATATAATCATCGGTATGGCAAGCATCATCACACCAAAGTTAATCACTCCCAATGCGATGTAGACGTTCTCAGTGCCGGACGCATCTAACCACAGCGAGCACGTGAAGGTGAAGATGCAACTGATGGTGTTGTTGATGACTGCAACACAAACCATGCTCTCCAAGACGAGCTCGGAGCCCTCCATGGAGTATGAAAGGGCGATGTCACCACCGGAACCGTAGGCGAAGCCGATGAACCCAAGGCCAACGTACATAACAGGTTTGCTGAGCATTCTTGCAGCCCCAATACCAAACATCAGCAGGCCTGCGGTTCCAAAGATTGCCGTGAGGAAGGAGAAGTACAGTCTGAATTCAGCTTCAACAACACCTTTGTTACGGCGTGCCATCCATAGGGTGAAGTAATCCGATAGCCAACCGGCGTAGATACATCCAATTATTGAACCCAACAGACAAGGCAAATTCATCAACGCAACCCCAACGTTTGAGTAGTTGTATGGAGCGTCGTAAAAGAAGGTATCTTCAGTGGTGAGGTAGAAGGACAAGAATGCATTTTGCATACCCCAGAATAACCCAGACAACAGGATACCTGGGAAACAGAACATCTTGAGGTTGATCAAGATATATCTCCAGTACTGCTTGAATCCCGAGCCTTTTAAATTAGATGCTGGGGTAATCAATGCAACCCTTTGCCAATAAGTTTTCTTAGGTTCCTTTGAGCCATCGATTAGTCCGTCAGAGATTGAAAATTTCTGCTTTGGGTTGATCAATCTGAGCCTGATGGTATCTTTCTTTTCACAATCGCTTCCCTTATCTAAGTCAGATTGAACGTTAGAAACACACTCTCCAAACCCTTCAATGTCTTCACTGTAGTTCAAGGGAGTTATATAACGTTGTCTTTCAAACGAGGTTTCATCCGTGGCAAAAGATAAGACAAGGAGCAATACTCCCGAGATAATTGCACCGATCCACCCAACCCATCTAAAACTGACTCTATTGGCAATGAAATTACCAATTAACGGCGACAGATAAGTACCCACAGAAGTGGCAAGGATATACACAGTTAAAACAGTACCAAGCTGATGCTGGTAGTAGATATCTGTCAAACTCAATTGCACAGCAGCTTCAGCACACGACTCACTGATACCAACAAACAATTGCGACCAGATGGTGTCACTGGTGTCCTTGGAGAAGCCAAACCAGATGGCACCGATTAGGCCCAGCGTAATGGAGATCAAATAGGGCAGCTTTCTCCCGTAAAGGTACGAAAATGGGGCCAAGAACAGAGTACCATACCCGATACCCAAGAACAGCACACCTGCTCCGGTATTCATCGCATCGTACGAGATCCCATACATCTCATTGAGGTTATCCTGCGTAGACCCAGCATCGTTGGAAGTCGCCGCAGTGAACGCAGTCACAAACGCCATGGTGCACAGGTGTGCAAACTTACGGCCCTTGGACCAGTTCAATGGGTCGTTTGGAGAGTCTGAAGGTTGCGGAATCAGAATGATGTCCCCATCTTTCTTCAATGGCCTCTTGTTGCTGGAGCTACTGGTCTCGAGCGCCAGGTTCGAGTAGATGTTCGTGGT